TGCCACCTGTATTTGTAGCTATTGCTCGAATTTGTAGTTGATAAAAAGACTTGGGTCGAGTTGTAGTTGTTATTTGCTGTATATGGATGAAGGCGAGCTTGAATGAAGGTGGTTTGTTTTCTTACTTCTTTTTTTCTTTTATTTTTTTGATGATGGCCTTGTATGATAATTAGCATGTAGTTATTAGTTGTTAGGGAATTGTAATAGCTATTTTGTCCAAGTTTTGACCAATTGATTGTGTTAGCGGTTTGTAAAATAGTGTTAGATAAATTAGCTATTTTAATTACATGTTAAAATGTAAAATTACTTATAAGGATATCAACATATTTTTTATATCATTGAAATTTATGTTGAACTTATAATTATTTAGGAAATAGAAATAATTAATATTCCAAATATTTATTAAAGTAATAATGTAATAAAAGTATAAATACTAAAAATGAAAAATTTTCTAATCGAGTGAGTTCATGTCATTTAAATAACCAAGTACAACTCATCACAAATTAAAAATCGTTTGGTAAAGACGGCACGGAATCTTTGGGTGGAGCTTGTGCTGAGAGATTATTGGCAGGTTTTTTTCTCCCAGGATGTTTGTACGTGGATGTGGGTGAATTTGATGGAAGATCCGTTTGATGGGGTGTCCAATTGGGCTACTACGTTTGCTATAACCTGTTGGCGCATATGGGCCTGGAGGAATATGGCTGTTTTTTCGAATAAGACAATCCCTCGTGAAACGAAGCTTGTGGATATACGGAGTCGAGTGGACAGACACTTGTGTTTCACGGATGGTGCTAAGGCCCTGAATGCAGTTGTTCGACGATATGAGGACATTTTGATTCGCTGGACTCTCCCCCCGGTACACTGGATTAAAGTCAACACGGATTGCGCGTTGTGTACAGCTACCGGCCGGGGTAGTGCAGGAGGACTAGCCCGCGATAATCATGGTAGATGGCTTGGTGGGTTCCTTATGAATGTGGGCTTTTGTTCGATTACTGGGGCAGAACTTTGGGGTCTTTACCATGGCCTACAGCTGGCGTGGGGATTGGGTGCGCGGCACGTGTTAGTGGAAGTGGACAACCGTAGTGTCGTCGACATGGTCTCGGGGACTGAGGTTAACCTTGGTCTTCATGAAACCATTATTCAAGCTATTCGGGAGTTACTTCAGAAGGACTGGTGCGTTCGTTTGGCTCATATCTATAGGGAAGGAAATTGCTCGGCCGACAAGTTAGCGTCGTTGGCTGCTGGGGTTTCAGTTGGGTTTCATTGTCTTATGGATCCGCCATCGGAGCTTGGGCATTGGTTGAACTATGATCTTTTAGGGGTGGCCCGGCCACGTCGTGTGTTGATTTAGAGTTGGTCTTAGGCCTCGACCTCTTTTATTGT